CACCAACAAAATTATCTCTAGATAATTTGGTTTGTATTTATGCTTTCTTATAGTGCATCTCTTGTTCAGTGTGATGCGTACTAAATTTTTTTTCCAGTTTTCACATCAGAAAATGTGTTCACTCCTTTTAAATTAATGAGTCTATATAGAGTCTGATCTGAATATGTTCTGAAAATGTAATTTTTGTCCACAGCGTTTACAGAATTGAAAATCTCAGCAGTGAGAAAACTGCAGTTCTTGTGCTTTTGTGTCGAACCAGTGGTTCCTATTATCTCACCATACAGTCTGCACAATGAAAGCGGCATATTTAAGATGTAAGAGGCCGATATGCTGAGAAACTGTCTCCATAAAACATGTCCAGAGCTCCACTCAGAAGCTTTGTGGGAATATTTAAAAACATCAAATAGGCCTCAGCTCTGGTTACGAGGACGATTTGAAGGAGGCTATTTAAGATGCAGGCGTTGGAGCCAAACGTTCGCTCTTTGTGGAGAGATATAAACCTGCAAAGAGGGGGGATATGCAATGCTGCGATTGTGCAGCACTCTGACACGCCTGTCAAAATTCATTTCTTCAGCGACAGGCAGACTCCAAGCATAGCAAAAGGCTCGGTCAGAACTTGACAAGATGGCTTTTGTGCAGGTCTTTCATCTCTAAAATAACCAGGAAGATCATTAATAGAGATTTATTCCCAGTTTAAAATAGACAAAAGCTACTTGATTTTGGAATAAATGCAGAGTTTTAAAGTCAGCAAGTGTCCTCACGCAGAGGAAAGAAAAATACAGACACGTGTGTGGCTAATGCTATTCGCTACACATCGTATAATGATTGCTGCTGCATGTGCCGGTGTGAAATTAGATTAGTTAGTGCGTAATTGATGGATAACTGCGTAAACGTTTTGCAGACTTGTTCCGTCAGGTGTCCGGTCCTGGAGGTTTGACAGACCAGCGTCACCTCAGCCTGCTGCTACATGAAGCCATCCAGATCCCCCGCCAGCTGGGCGAAGTTGCAGCTTTCGGCGGCAGCAACACGGAGCCAAGCGTCCGGAGCTGCTTCCGCATGGTGAGGACACGGCCGCATTAGTGCATTTCACGCCCAGGTCCATTAACAGTGTGCTTAGAGCTCTGGAGGTTGATTCAATAGATTTTTTTAAATTTTATATAGCAGTGTTGGAGGCTTAGGCTGCATCTTTAAAGGGGCAGTATGAGCTTTACATCATGTTTTCCCTCATCAAAAACACCTTTATTCCTTCATTAATGGTTGGGAAATCCTTTCATCTCCATGGCAACCGTTCAGCCTGGGTGGGCCTACCCCCGCCTTCAAGATGAAACTCCTCATCGGAGCTGCAGATTCCAGGTTTCCAAGCTTCCAACTCTCAGCTCCTTCAGACTAGCCAGCAGCAATTAGCAAACACCTGGTGGGACAGTGCATCAGCTGAGCTTATTAAATGAGCTACTTTTCTGATCAATGCTGGTAAAAACGATGTTAATGGGTTGGCAGAGGACCGATGTGATTACTTTTTAAAGGTATTTTCAAAGAGACAGAAGCCTAATTTTAAGGTGTTAAATTACAAATTAAGTCATATTTGTTATATAAAGCATTTTTATATCTACTGTAGCTTGCAGATTTACTTGACTGTTCTATAAAATGCCCTAGAAAATACATAACATTGCCCCTAATCTGGTGTAGTTCACATGTTTGAAAGGGATATCTCTATTACTTTTGCAAGAACTTTCTCTGAGCATCGGGATGAATTATCTGGAATGTAAAAGTCTGTAAGACGAATTGTCAAGAGAACGCCCGCCAAAACTGGAGATCAAAGTTGAAATGGTTGATCTTTATTTACGTCACCTGGTTTGTTTAAAAAAGACAATTAACAGACGAACTGAACTGTGGCGGAGAGGTCGAGGTGTCGGCGCCTCTCTATATCAAAGCTTTCTAAGTCTAACACTACATTTCAGAGCTGTTTTCAAAGTAAAACAAACAAAATTAAACATGTAATTTCTAAAAAAGGAAATGCAAAAAATTTAAAATTAGACTGGCTGCTTTGGGAATTTACCTTTCTTTGTTTTCCACTCAAGAAAAAAAAATATTATGCTTGTGCTTTAAATAATTCATTATGTTTTTATCATTGCATTTAATAAGTCACAGAAACAAGATTCGTCTTTCCTATCAAGATTAAGCCAAGAAAATGTAAATTTAATCATCTGCCACTGATTTAGGTCAACAAATGAAAACGGAAGGCAGCAGAAGATTATTAACCAATCAAACTCTCTCAGTTTCCAATAATATTCTCATGGTGCACAATGTAATCCCGTCAGTAACGGCTATATCAGATGAAGCTCTTTGAAAGTATTCTGTTTCTCCTTGTGTTTATATTTACTCTGAGATAAAATTAGAGTGACCCAGGGACACTTGATATTTCTCGATACTGTTCGTCTCCACTTCATGCTGATTGTTAAACTGAAATGACAGAAAGACAGGAAACAGCTACAACAAAGCAGGCTGCATAAAATAGTTGCTAAAAAACAGTGAGCAGAGGAAGGTCTCTGCAGAGGTTATTTGGAAAAATCCAGGCAAGAAGTAAGAATAATTCATCTTCCAATAAATATTTCAGTACTTTCACAGCATTCAAAGGTAAAGAACTTAAATAAATGAAACAAAGTAAGTTGGGAAATAGAAAACCCTACAGTATTTTTCATATAGAAGAGGTTGTATCAATCAAGCTAAATTTCCCAGTGACAGTGAACATCCCATCCGTTTGAGGCGGAGTAGCCTGATCGGGTGAGCAGCTCCAGTTTCAGGTGTTTTGGTGAGGAAGAAGCTGCCATTCGACCTCCCACTGGGAGCCAAGCTGGGTACCCTGCTAACAGAGAGGAGCTCCTTCATCCCTGGAGACCCCACATCCTCTCCGCCTGTGATCAGTGCACACACTCACATGCATTTATTATGTTACCCTGCTTGAGCAGTGGGGGCAGCCCCAGGGAAATCAACTTTCTTATGCATCTCTGATGCAGACTTAATGAGAATTTAGCACATCACAGATTTTGAGCACTTGGCGAGTTATTCCTTTATTAGGTTGGCTTTCTTTTTTCTTCTTTTTTTTTCAAACAAGCTTTCTTCAGGAGAGCGAACATGCAAACTCACAGTAACCCCTGTATAATTTATGTCTGTTATATTTTTAGCTTTGTAAATGCTTAAGCATATATGCAGCATAAAAGATTTAATGTTTGGCACCCTCTTCAATATTGGGATGATTTTGCTGAAACTGCCTTTAAGCAGGAAAGAATTGTTGCTGTTTTTATTGCTTTAAGAACATGGCCTCCTGTTGGTCTATATTTGGGTTGTTTACAGTCTCTTGTCTCTTACCTTTTCCTAACAGGCCCCTGGGAAGCCTGCCATTGAGGTGTCTCATTTCCTGGAATGGATGAGCCTCGAGCCCCAGTCGATGGTTTGGCTGCCCGTCCTGCACCGCGTAGCTGCTGCAGAGTCCACCAAGCATCAGGCCAAATGCTACGTCTGCAAGCAATGCCCCATTAAGGGTTTCAGGTAGGCATGGCTGCTGGGCATTCAATTCAACCAAATGGATATTTACATGTAAAGGTATCGTTAGTGGATCAAATGATTAAAACAGATATTTGTTTTTATATTTTAGAAGTGGAAAATTAGACTTTTGCTTTATAAGGTAACAACAAATCTGTGCTATACAGATACCTGTCCTTGTTGCACCTTTTAACAGTGTCAGAAATAAACATAAATTTGGGGCCTTTGTAAAGCAGTATTATTTTAAACGAACTATTGTGCAGAATTCATATTTTGCACTTTCGTTTGGGTTTCAGATGTTTTTTTTGTTTTTTTTTTTTTATAACTTAATGGTTGTTTGGTTTCTGGAAAAAGAGCCATTTCAAAAATATCACACTGCCCCATTACCTAGCAATCCCTGCCGATCTTAGCTCATTACTTAGCAATCCAAGTGGAGCTCCAGCATGTTTGGTCAGCTGACTTTACCACTGTATGCGCTGTACAATGACTGCTGGGAAAGACAAGTGTTTTATTGTTGACCTATCATTCAGAAACCAGTTGCTGCATTCTTTTTGGTTATGCAGGAGGCTCTGCTTCTGCCTTTCAAAGATGTGATTTTGGGTAATTGTTTGCAGCCATTTTCATGTGTGACTATAAATGTTGAGTTGGGGGCGTGGCCAGCAGCAGTTTATTAGGATTTAAATTGACGAGGCCTTAAAGGTATGAAAGGTCACCAGTTGTTAGAAGGGACTTAAAATTAGAATTCTAGGAATGATGATTTACATATATTGAATAAACTAATAAATTTGATATTTTCAGTTGTTAGGTCATTGTGAAATGTGTGAATTTTTTGTGTTGTTCTATGATATCTCTTTTGCTGTTTCTGTTGAAGCCATTACATTGATTTGAGAGATTTCATTAAGATTTGTCCTCAACTTAAGTTAAGCCTATTAGTCATTTTAACAACACCAAAAACCCAGGGTTTTGTATAGGAAATCAAACGTCTTTTGTGTGAGTGTGCAAAGAAATATTAGCCTCTACAGCATGGCTGAGATAAGAACACACACACACACACACACACCCAGCCGCTCTACCACTCCATTCAGTTCCCCTGCAAACATCGTTAAAGTCTCTGTTTTATTGATCTCGACAGGTATCGCAGTTTGAAGCAGTTCAATGTGGACATCTGCCAGACATGTTTTCTAACCGGCCGCACAAGCAAGGGCAAGAAGCTGCACTACCCCATCATGGAGTACTACACCCCAGTAAGACGAGCATTATGTATCACTTTACCAGAATACAAATTCATGTCTTTAGGGAGAAATGAAGCTCAACTTTACTCAAGAACAAAGTACATTCTCCTAACTCCCTATTTCTTCTGCCAAGCATGAATTAAGGATCTTATTGACTCTATCTATTTGTCCAGCTCTTGAATAAACGGAGAGAGAATCACTTAGTAGAAAATTTATTTTTGGCTCATTTTTGGTTCAGGAATGTTTGGAGCACAAATATTCAGAAAAACCCATGAATCATCAGTACAGTGAGCGCAAATATAATAAAATCTGTTAAATTTCAAGATTCAAAATCCCAACAGTATTTTTATTTTCTGCAAAAATGTTTTTATATCACAGAGTACGGTTCTTGCAGCAGGAAAGCAAATAAAAATTACTCAAACAGATATGATGAAAACCGGAAGATTTTAAACAGAGCAATAATCTAGAGACAGTGGATAGAAAGAAACATTAGTATTGGAAGAAAAAAAGTGGATAAATTTTACATGAGGTTTTCTCTGGAGATGGCAACTCTAAAGCAGCACAATTTGTCTTTCAATCATCCATGCCCTGTGCTTCAACCTCCACTTTTCACCCCCTCCTCCACTCGCTTCCCTGGACGGCGGCAGACAACCTCGGGAGAGAAGATGAGGGACTTCGCTAAGACTCTGAAGAACAAGTTCAGGTCAAAGCAGTACTTTACAAAGCACCCGCAGAGAGGTTACCTGCCTGTGCAATCTGTACTGGAAGCTGAAAGCTCAGAGACGTGAGTCCCACAACACACATCCATCCCTTTGTGTCTTTTCTCAGATGCTCCGCTATGCAGACAGGCAGAATTGTATACATTTATTTACTTGAGACAAATGTGTTAGTTTAACAATAAATCAACGGGGATCTATTAAACAAAATTCACATTTTGCATGTTTTTATACTTCCATTTGTGTTTCTACTGCTTCTAAAAACAGCACAAGTGATTAAAAACACCAAACTGTTTTGGCAATAAGTTAATGTTTTTTCTTGGTGTCTGGAAAATTAGCCATTTAAAAAAATTAGCTAACCTCTAACCTCCCTAGCAAAACCCAGCCTGTTGCCTAGCAACCACAGTGGAACTCCACCTGTCACTTAGCAACCACAGCTGAGCTCCAGCATGTTTGGTCAGCTGGTTTTACCGCTGAATGCGCTGTACAAAGTCATGTGTTTTGTTGTTGACTTACCATCCAGAAACCTCTTGCTGCATTCTTGCTAGCTGTGCAGGAGGTTCTACTACTGCTTTTCAAAGATGTATGATTGTACAGTCACTCATCTGTCATATTTTTACTCTTGTTTTGAAAGTCTGATTTATAATATACTTTCCACCAATGACAAAGTAAACATTTTTACTCTTTCTGCAAAATAAACCAACTGCACAATTCTTGCTAAGTAATATTTCAAAAGAGCAGAGGAAATCTCATGTTTTTTTTAACAATAACAACATTTGTTGTTAATCTGTTGCTAAGAGATGAGCCTGTTTTCTGGTAACAAAGTGCCACAAAGTAAACATCTGATTTTTAGTTTTGTAAAATTTACCAACTATAAATTTCTTGTGTCTACGCAGATGAATAGTATTTCAAAAGAGACTGTTTTATAAGCAATAACTTTACATGATGAGCATAGCAGTTCATTACCAGAAAATGCACTCATCTCTTTGCAACCGATTACAAATTGTTATTGTTCAAAAAACATGAGATTTTTAAACCGATAAAACAAACTTGGCCCCATGTGAAAATATAATTGTCTCTGTGAACATTTTATAAAAAATTAAGTTAAGATTTTATTCTCCACGTCTGAGTACTGCCAGAAATGTACAAACAAGAAATCACTTGCCTTTCTGACGACAGGACTAAAATATTTCCAAAGCAGCACATCGCCTTGAATCAAAAGGTTACACAGTTGTTTCTAAGGCTTCAAAACTCCTTCAGGCCAGTGAGAGCTATTATCCACAAATGGAGAAATTATTGATCAGTAGTAAACCCTCTCTTCGGCTCATTCAGGAGGTCACAAAAGAATTCAAAACAAATATAAAGCACTCCTGGCCTGACTGGCCTTGGTTGAGATCAGAGTTCATTACTGAACAAGAAGAAACTGGGAAGAAATGGCGTTGGTGAGAGAGCTCCACTGCTGAGTGAGAAAGACGCAATGACCCAGAAACATTTTTATCAGTCTCTCTATGGGTTCCCAATACATTTTTTTTTGTACATTAAAGATAAAAACAATAAGTTTTCCCCTACGCTACTCTATCTTGCAATAAAATAATTTGAAAAGGAAACAATAAGATAACAGCTAAAACAAATAGCTCCCAATGTTAGTGTTACTACAGAATGAAAAAGTCATATAAAGGTTTTTAACAGATTTGTCATCAAGTTGGCTTCTTTTCATCGGAGAAGGAAATGGAGCAGGCTGTAAACTTTCCAGCTGAAGTTCAAGATTAAACTGCTTCCTGGTGCCCAAAGGATTGTGTGTAAAAATGATGACAGACAAGTGACTTAAGGCCGGGTCACTAAAAAGAAAACCTGAATGCGACATTAAGGTGAACAGAGCTGCGCCCCACGCTGACTAACTGCATCTTAACACCTAAAATAAAACTGTTTACGTCAGGCCGTCTACCTGCTGAAAGAAGTGTTTTTGCCAATGCATCTGAAGTCTGTTCTTCTTTTATTGTGCACAATGTGGTAGTACTGTTTTTTAATAGAACAAAAATGTACATTTTGAGCTTTTTATTGGTTTATTTAAAGTGAGATTTCTGCTGTTGCCCAACAACCCAGCACATTTAACAAAGCAACAAGATGACATTTATTTTGCCTTTAAGTGTTTTTTCTACTGTAATAAGTTTTTATTTTACATTAAAAAGTTTACTGAGGAAAAATAATTTTGTTTTATAAACTGAAACAAAACTAAATTATGAAATATCTGCTGCATCCTGAAATATACATATATTGCTTTGAACTGATTTCAAAGCAATATATGTATATTTAAACATATATTTAACCATAAAAGATGTTTTTACTTTCATCAACTTTTATTTGTTGTGTTTTCTTGTGAATATTTTCTGATAATCCCCAAAACAGTTGAAAGTTATTTCTCTGTGTTCTTGACATTAGCCTTGTGATCTCACTCTGATTCAGGCACATTTCACATGAGCAAGTCTGCTGGAAAAGAAAAGCAGAACTGGAGTAGTGAGATAAAAATCTGTGAGCTCACCGTGAAGCAGTAGCCTCAGGTTACAAGAGCACCCAGAATGATGTAGCATGAGTTCATGTTTCACGAGATTGTGTCATTGTTTTATAACCTCTAAAATTAAAGAAACACCACTCAGAACAGATATAAGACTTTCTGAGGATCAAATAACATGGAGAAAAAGGAAGCAGCAGCTGATTAAGTTTAGGGGAAAGGATGCAAAACTCTCCTTTCACAATTTCCTTGAGTAAAATGACAATTAATATTGAAAAAAACATTACTTACATATAATCATTAAGTATTGCACTGGTGGCATTACAATGGGCTTCCAACATGTCTGGCTCTAAAAATATCACAATACATTTGAAGAAACATTTGGAGTCGCAGCACGATGCAGTCAGACAGATCAGCAAGCAGAGAGCTGCGACGAAAAGGCAGGAGGTCCCAAACCAAAACTAAAAAAAATTTAACTTAGCTCCAAAACCAGCAGGAGGGGGATATTATCAGCAGCTGAAAGCTTAGAGTAACTAATAATCTAACTTAGTTACCTTTAAAATCAAGTAATTAATAAAGTACTTTTTCAAGGTAAATATGCCTTTACTGCTTTTGTCCAGTGGCAACATCCAGTAACTTTGAACAAGAAGTAACTTTTCAGAAAGAAATAACAGCTTGTATTAAGTCAATAATTCCTTAATGTTGATGTAAAGTTTCTTGTTACATTAGTAAACTATTTTACTTTTAACAAGAATTGTGTCCCATTTTATTAGTGAAATAATCAGCTAATAGAACTAGAACATTTTCATCAATATTAAGGAATTATTTGCTTAAAACAAGTAACTATATCTTGCTGACAAGGTATTTTGTCTTATTTCAAATGAACTACAATATTTGCACTGGAAACTTGACCAAAAACACGCAAGATTTTGTATTTTTACAATGTAGGAAACACAGCTAGTGACATTTCCAGTTTTTATCACAGCAGAAGAATAAAGTGAGCATTTCTAATCACAAACACTTAAATGTTACTTCTTACACCCAGAACTAAATGCCTGCAGTAACTTTCCGTTTCCCTCCTGCTGTGTCTTGCATTCTGGCCTTTTGTACTGTTTCATATTGAACTAAGGTGGGTTTTTTTACTGAGGAATAATGACTTTGAATTTTCTTCTTTTCAGCCCTTGCTCCTCACCCAGGCTGCCCCATGCAGACACACACAGCAGGATTGAACACTACGCCAGCAGGTAGGAGCCTTGCTCCGCTGTGCTGCTATATATATCAGCTCATTACTGTACAACGTTTTCTCCTTCTCTTTCACTTCCCCTCTTCATATAATCCCCCTTTCCTCCTAATGCACTCTCTCTGTACTCCGTCCACCCTTTCTCCTCCCTCACCAATCTTTTAGTCTTTGCTGATTGCGGTATTGATTTAATTTCTGGTTCTCTAGCCAGCTCTGAGGTTGCAGTCGCTCTTTCCCCTCACACACACATTTAAACTCAAGCGCAGCAGTTTGCGTTTCCCTGTGAGTGTCTGTGAAGGTTAGCAAGGTTCAGCCTGCCCAGCGGCCTGTCACTTGCCGGGGCAGTGAGCCCATTGGTCACCTGGGAGCTGTCGGTGTAGATTAGAGTCTCGGTGACAGGTTATAAACAGACCACAGTCCTGGACTCCCACACTGCTGGCAGAGCTGCACTGTGGGCATAGCTGGACACGTAGATCCCTCTCCAATGTGCCTGCGGTGCATGAATGGAAAGAGAGTGTTCATGTGCTTGTATGTGTGCTATTGTGTAATACTTCCCTGAGGATCTACTCACTTTACATCCTGCCAAAACAAGAGCAACAGACAGCAATGAGAGCAGGCACTATTTTCATCTTTACCCCCTTGCTTTCCAACTCTTCTTTGTTTGCCTTTGTCTTTGATCCCTTTCTTCTTTTGCCTCCTGCACATTTATTGTTCCCTTTATTCTCATCCCATTCTCTCTGTTTTTTGAGATATTTTCTGCCACATTCTCTATATCTAATTGGTTTTGTCATATTCTATATAATTTTGTTCAAACAGCCTGTGGGTTGTGTTGGTCACTGAAAACTAAGCAAGTATTTCTGGTCTAGCTTTTAACAAAATTGTCTTATTTCAAGAGTACTAACTGGGAAGTTAGTTTTCATGAAGATAAAGGAGATCATTTCAAGTAAATAGAGTAGATTTTCATCTTACTATTGAAATATTAATATTAAATTGATTATGAAGTCTTTGTACACAAAAATATTAAAAAAGAGTATTGAAGACCAGGTTGAAAACACCAGGTTTATCAGTTTTTGATGAAAAGAGGGAAAAAGATAAAAACGATAAATCAACCAAATTAAAATTACATTTCTTTTTATTTCATTATGTGATTAATTTACTTTTTGTTTATTTTGACAGGGCTGCATATTTGTACTAGAAACTGGATCAAATGTACAAATAAATGAACTGCGTGAAGTTCATTTATTTGCGAAACTCCCAGTAAATAAATTGAGTTGCAACGTGACAAAATCTGAAAAACTAAATTATTTTGCAAACCACCTCAGTTAGCTGTGTTTAAATTAAACAGTGTCTCATGGGGAAAGGTCATTTAACTTTCAGTCTTCCTTTAAACTTTTTTTTTTACAAAAGACTATGTGATATTAAGTCAATTTTTATGAAATTATATTAGACTTCTCTGAATCATTGTGGTTCAAAGACGGTCCATTGATCTGGTGTACTGGATGATTACAGCGACAGCTCCACTTTATTCACATGGGAGGAGAAAATGAGCGAAGACCAAACTCACTTGTTCATTAACATGATTCAAGTGGAGTCATTATCGGGATTAATAGTCTTTGATATGCTCTCTTACTTTTATTCTGACAGGACACATTATTTTCTCCTGCTTACTTGGTTTCCTTTCCTCTTATGGAAAGGAAAGAGCGCATTGCAGTTCTTATTTGAATTCACTCTCAGTCGTAACCTCCACTCACTGTTCACTTTGAACAGCAATGGAAAACCACGCTTATATCAAAATAAAAGTTACCATTGCTGGCAGGTCAGCTTTTTCAGAATTCATTGATCTGGTGTACTGGATGATTACAGCGACAGCTACACTTTATTCACATGGGGGGAGAAAATTACGCATTAGGTAAACCCATGTATGTTGGTGTCAAAGTGCTCGTTTGGTGGAGAAATGAGCACTTTTC